TAATTCATACAATTATGTTATAATCAAATAAAATTTTTCTCACGATAGATTTTTTTATCAAGTGAAACCGAAACCCACAATTTTTATCGAGTGAAATCCAATTATTCCCATATATGATATATAAGTCAAATTTGTAGTATAGGAAGCGTACTAACACTTACCTTTCGGGAGGAAAGCATTCCACTGCTGGTCAGGGGCTCTGAACAACCCACCTTTACGCTAAGCAAGAGCCTGGAGGAGATGGTGTTGGAGATCTTCGTGAGACTTTTGTTCCTTTTTAATAAGGAAAGTATTGATATACATGTAATTGATTGTTATGATCGTTATACTTCCTTTGACTCAATAGCACATACTCAAAGTTTAGTTCAGAAATGCCGTTGATCTATGATCCTGTGTTGTAATGAGTTAATGATCGTGGTTTGCTATGTTTTATTTCTAAAATAACTTGAATCATTGATGAGTTTTCTAAAGATTCTCAAATACTCATCATTAAGCCGACCGATTCAGTCCTCGAAGTAGGAGCAAAAATTTCGTAACTTTCAAAAGTTGTTGGCGACAAATCGACAATATCTAAGAAAATTCTTGAAAGACTTTTTGTAACCGGAGATTTTGATTTTTCAGTGACTATTCTATGAAGCCGGTCACTTTCAATTCGAATCGTTAAGTCTTGGTCTAGATGCAGTTAACAGTTCGAATTTGGATATTGGCATCAAAAAGCTCAATGTTTTGATGTGATGTTTATAACCAGGAATAAAGGAAACAGAGGATATTATTGTGTGTGAGTGCATTGATGGATATGAAGGTAAAGAAAATGAAGGTGGCGAAGTTGAAGTTAAATATGATGAAGATGGGGAAGCAGAAATATTATCGTTACGGTGACAATGATGAATATACAGTGGTGTGCAAAAAAAAATGACGATAGAGCAATCATGCGACTTTTAATTGCATATTGGTTGTGTGATTCTGACCAAAATTAGATTGGTTACACTTGATGATTATCATTTAAAAAAAATCGTTCTACGAAAAAAATTTTTCCTTTTTATAATAAAAATTTTATTTTTGCAAGTATTGAAATGGCACCCTCCAAGCAAGAAACCCAAATACAAAGCATATTACATTTTTGGAGACAAGGAGTAACCAATGCTTCAAAAATAAACTCTTTAACAAAAATCCCACTTAAGACAATCTATCGAAACCTGAAAAAAAATAAAAGAAACTGGAGATGTCAAACATAAAGGGGTAATGGACGAATAAAAAAAATAACACCAACAGCATCTCGGGCACTTGGGCAGTACATTCGAAAGCAACATCACTTCCCGCTGGAGCTCTTGCTTCTAAATTAGAGGATATTGGAATAAATGTTTCCTGTTCAACAGTTTCACGACATTTGGCCGGCCTCGGATACCAAAACGCTCTTCCTCTTTGTACACCAATGCTAACACCTAAACATAAAGAAAAACGTATTGAATGGGCACAAAACATAAAGATGATAACTGGAATAAAACACTTTTTAGTGACGAAACATCTTTTCAACTATTTCGCAACACAATTAAACACTGGTACAAAGGTGCAAGACCGGTTCATCTTATGCCAAAGGACCGAAGTAAAATTTTGCGTGGAGGGGGGGTTTGTACAAAAGGTAAAACAAGTCTTTTTGTTTTAAACGTATAATGGATGGGAAATTTTATGTAGAAATCTTGGAAAATCATATCACGGAGGTTAACAGAATGTTAAAAGGACGATGGCGACTACAACAAGATAACGATCCTAAGCACACTAGCCGTATTGCTAAAGAATTTCTTGAAAATAATGTTCCGGAAGTTATGGATTGGCCCTCCAATAGTTCAGACCTGAATCCTATCGAAAATCTTTGGGCAATCGTTAAGAGGAATGTGGAGTTACGTAAACCAAAAACTCTTACTGAATTAGAAAGTTTTTTGGGTGAAGAATTCTAAATAGTGTTCTAATTAATCTTATAAATTCAATGCCACAATGTTGTAAAGAGATTATTGAAAAAAATGGGGAAAGAATATCATATTAATTTTTTTTAATAAAATCTGCCGAGTTTTGTCTTTAAAATGGTGTAATATACATGTTAATTAATATGATAATCATTTAAATAACGTGATTTTAAAAATTGTCATTTTTTTGCACACCACTGTAGTTTAATAATTGTTGTGATATTATATTTGAGAGTTTTGAAATTATGAACGGAATAAAAAATGCTTTTTTTCTTGAGAAAATAAATCATATGGCGTTAACAATATATGCCTAAGTGGTGTGGTGTCTGAAATTCAAACTCAAAAATTGTGCACAACGCTCACCAAAATAATGTGAATACGTATTTTCAAAATATCATATAGTACATATATTCACATTTCAAACATTGTGCCTGAACAACCACAAATTACTATTAATAAATGCACGTTGATTCACTACGTTACAATGTTACAGCTAATTGTAACTAGGCTTCCATAAATGAACACCCTTCTAAATGCACAGCCCAAGCTATAGGTTCTAATATTTGAATCTATTCTTTAAGACCGGTCCCCGGGGTGCTAACAATTAATAATTTCTCGAAAACAAAGATAATTTGGAAAACTATTGGATGAACGCGGGATTTTTTGTATTTGTCAAAGTTTAATACGAATCAGAGATTCGTTGGGCGAGAATTCTTAAAATAATTCTAGATCCCACTTTGACATTTTTGTTCCATGCAGGGACAATGCACAAAACTTTGCGTGCAACGAATAATAGCGATAGATACGTGTATATACAGTACATGAAAAAAAAGGAGAGTAGATACTTTCCTAATTTTCCATACCGTTATATGTTATTGTGAGTACAAGCAGTTAAAATTAAAAAAATGGCAAACAAGAATATAGGCTCACTTGTGTAGCATAAACAAATAATGCCTATAAAAAACAGATGCGCATAAATAAATCAATTACAAAGTTAGACAATGTCTGAAACTCAATCAATGATTGAAAGGTTACATCGAGTTCAATAATCATAAAGAACAATTATTGATCCAAGTTAAGCTTGTTCTGCACTAGTTTTGGTGAATAATAGCAATAATGTCACTCCAATACATATTACGTACACATATGTGGAAACGTATTTCGTGCAAACAAGGAAAGTATTTTTAGCATGAAAAACAAAAAAATAGAATCAAAATATTATTTCACAAAGAAATATTTCCATCCAATGAGAACATTTTTTCTTCGAGAATACCAAAAAAGCTGTAGAAGAATAAAGTTAATTAACATTGTATTGTTTTTTTATTTCTCCAGTTACAATTATTCGAATTTTCAATAGCGGAATATAAAGAATAACATCCGAAAAATAATCCATAAAAAGTAATTTAACATTAACGGTTTTCCCAATACCGATACGTAGTAGTGTGAAACCAAACAATGTACTGTGCACAACCACGATGACTTTGAAACATTAATGGCGTAAAAGATAAACACGATCAATCCATTTACTAACGATACTGTATATTGTAGAAATGGAATTCAGCACATCCCCAAAATCATAATCCGCCAAATTTAAGTAACCAATTTTTACTGAGATCATATGACACCATGTTGGACTCGCATTCAAATCTTTCGGCTAGTGGTTGCAAATCATACATTCGTAAATTATTTAATTTCTGTAATAAGAAATAAACAAGGAGTTTGAATGAGTCGTTGTAACTGCATCTGGTGAGGATCATTCATTTTTTCTCCTAGAATCCCTTTTAATGTTTGAAGCGTGTTTCGAATTCTGCATAATGATATTGGTTGCTGTGATCCGTCGAGCTCTCATTGTAAGTTTTTATGTTATGTGCATCGTTTTGTTATTCTTCGAATATTCACTCCGTAGAAACTAATTTTTTTTTGAAAAAGCAACCTCGGCAAGCAATTCAAATAAACTAGTTATTAATACAAAAATATTATAATCCTGGTTTAAAGAACGCAAATAATTTTGGCGGATACGATTAAGTTTCGGCATTTCGGCTTCACGTGTTTAGAAGGCTAGTACTACGGCATGTACAATTCCATAGTAAAAAGAACATAATTTAGTGTGGCTTCTAGAACATGTGTTTGAATCATGAAAACATGATAATTTAGCTGAAATTGCGCAGCAAGTTATTATTTGTATATTCGCCTTCTGTGCTCAGTTTGACAACTTCCGACCTTTCCCCGTGGCAAAAAAAAGGCTCTTATCTTGTGATAGGTTATTCGATTGATGTGAATCGTACACAAGACACAATATTTCCTAATTCACAAAAAAAAATGAATATCAATATTGGTATAATTTATTGTGCATGTTTCATACTATGAATTAGATTAATACAATCATACACGCATTATATACACGTATTATATCTTTGCTCAGTTTTTGGGAAGGGAAAAACTGCTTAACGAATTTTCCGTAGCATCCAGGATTTTTCACGTTTATGGCTTCGTGAAAGAACAAAAAATCTACTGTTTGGGTGTCATAATTACGGCAGCGTTTTGGTGTCGATATATTTGGTAATCGAATAAAGAAAGAATACATATGCATCGTATTTTGTAACGTGAATAAACAATAAACAACAATTTTATGTGTCTAATCTAATATCGTTACGACAATAATAGTCAAATAAGTCGATTTATAGTTGAGCAATTAAAATTCGTGGCAACAATCATTTCGTAACGCAGCAGTAAAAGGTAATACGCGGAGATTACGTATTATGCATGTATGTGTATGCATTAATTTATATTGTAATGCACAATTTATTAATTTGTGGTGATTGACGATTCTACGGTTATTCAAAAAGTACTTAAAAGGGTGCAGGCAATTTTTGGCATTTCTTTAACACGTTTCTTGTCCCTTGACGAGCTTTTGGTCACAAAGAAATTTTTTTTTCTTAAATTTGACGATAAACTGTTAACCACAAAAAATAACAAACTATTAATCATAAAAACAAAAATCAATTTGAACAATAATCAAAAAAAAGAACGAACGCAAAAATGCATTTAAATAAATTATATGTTTGCCTTTTCGTTACATTACTACTCATCACTTTAACGACAACAACAGACGCATCACCAGCCCCAAGTCCACCGGACAGTGGAACAATATGGAACTCTGGTGATAAAGTCACAATCTCATGGACAGAAAATAAAGCTTCTCCATTAATTTCGGATATGAGCGGAATTAACATACAATTAATGACTGGAGCAGATTTATCGCAGGTTCCTTTGGTTGAAATCGCAAAAGGACTTGCTACCGATCAGACTTCGTATTCGTGGACAGTACCGCCATTGTCTGATTTGGGATTCCCGGCGGGAAAAATTTATTTCATCATGTTTTCTGATTCATCTAAACCTGGTTCTGGAGTTAGTTGGTCAACGCGATTCACTATTTTGGATGGAAAGGCACCGGTTGTCACTTACAATCCAACATCACCGTTTACTATTACAAGTATGTGATATATTTTTTTATATTTTAAAATAATTTTCTCAAATAACGCTGACAAAATTTTCTTTTTTTTTTTAGAGAGTGGAGGTAGTAGTTCACCAACAGCACCACCAAGTGGAACCACCACCGTTGTTGTTACAGCAAACATCACTACATCAACAACTTCCAGCACTTCATCTACTCCAAACGTAGTCACCTTAACAGAGGACGATACACCAACGCAGAGCCCAACAATTCCTCCTCTTGTGCAAAACTCTGGTATACGAATACAATCCAGCATGCACATTATTAATATTGCTTCAACTCTGTTATTATTGTGCGCTGGTAGTGTTTTCTTAACACTAATATAACATTATACCATATTGATATATAAATAATTTAATTTATGTGGGCGGAAAAATCGTGATGAATAAATAAAATTAGTAACGTAACTGGTCCAATCCACGCATGCTTTTGTGTTCTGTGAAACATTATTTTTTCCACCGTGTTTCATATCGATATATATTTGTATTACTGATTCGATATTCTTTATCGAGTAACAAAGAGAAATCATTTTGATTGAGCAAGTTCCCTTACAAATCACAATTTGCAAGAGGAACAACCATCTCAGCTTAGCATTTATCAAATTTGAGATTTTATTTTTTGCGAAATTATCTACATGTATAAAGTATTAGACTGTACGTATATTATAAATTCTCTGTTTCATGAGTTAAAGATTAGCTGAAAAATTCGTGCATACAGTATGTTCATTTTGTAAATAAATTTAGTTAACTGGTTAACTAGTCAAGCATTCTCCTTTATGAGAAAATTTGCAAACTATGAGACTTTTGCAAAATACATTTTTACATCGAGCATAAAGGTGATACCGAAATAAGGTCTCAAGTAAACAGTAACAACGTCCTCCCGATTCTTTTTGAATAGCATTGCAAAATAATACAAAGGATGTCACTTCAAATCTTCATTAATCACTTAAAAGGGATCAAATAGGAGTACTACATACGTATTAGAGTTAAGGTTAGGGTTAAGGTTAATGCTGGGGAAATAGACTAATGTTGGCCGAAGAGGCACAACAGATATACACCAGGTTTTTAAATACCTTTTGGATTTCTATGAATTTGCTATCTGCGACTTTCCAAACGATATTGAATCGCGGCCAAAATATTCTAAGAATCGAGATAGGTTTGTAAATTAACTCATTTACTTTTGTATTGAATTCTGGTTAGCTTTAGAAATTATTTTCTCAGGATGGATTGTTGTCGATTATGTATTATCGTTATCTTTTCGAATTTAACTTGTATTTTGGCGTTTTAAATAATATTTGTTAACATTATTTAAAGGAACAGTTCGAACAATTGATAAATATATAAGCCTAAAAGGATATCTAATTCCGAAGGGTGTATGTATTAACATTTTTTCTTTGAAATCAAATAAATTTTATTATTTTTTTAGGTATACATAGCCGCTAATTTTTACGCTGAGGCGAGAATACTAACGAATTTGTTCCCGAGCGATGGTTAGACCCTGAAAAAATCCCGCATGATGCAGTTCCCTTTTCCAGCTGGTTACGTAGTTGATTCGTAGCTTTTGTTTCTTGACACTACAACTCGACTATTTATAATATTATTCCAATATAATTTTTTTCTGTTTCGCTTGGTTCAAATATTTATTTGGCTCGAGGAAAAAAGCAACTCAACATAACTTTTATTAAACTTTCTTTTAGAATTCTCTAATCCATCCGATGTAATCCATTCTACCAGAATTTGTCAACTTTGCATGATCCATTACTATCAAACCGGCAGCACACTCGCGCTTCTCATTCATTCTCGTCAAAGTCGAGTTACTTAAAAAGATTAAATTTTATTTGGTCGTCTGTCATTAATACACACATGATACTCCTAAAGCACATGATTGTAGCATGAGTTTTTCGGCGTTTCCCCATCGATCAATAGAGCTTTACGTTCGTGTGGTTGAGAATTGCGAATTGTGGAATAGTTTGTATGATTTTCTGTAATTACGTATCCAGAAACGGCCACCGAATGCAATGCACCGCGTTTTTTGTTTAGAATTCACAATATTCATAGCGATAATGAATTGTTCCAATCGCAATATATAAAATTAATATATGTGGGGGATCATGATGAAAAACGGATTACGTATGGTGAAAATTTTGGCCAAAATTGTGCAGGTCATGGAATAAAGGAGCAATATTTTGAAAATAATGATATGCATAAAATAAGCAACTTAAATTAATTTTGCCATAATGCTTATATTGCTAAATACTATGTAAATTTATGAGTATAATTGTTATTTATAGTTTATTATTAATATTCAAAATACAAGAAGTTTTAAAAACAAATTATGTTAATCAATTATTATGGCAATAGAAATTTTAAAATAACAGTATTACAGCTTGAATCAACAATATTAATTGATACTTGTAAATATTTACAGCCTGTAATTTCTTATTATTGTTCTAAATGCAGAGTTATAATTAAATACATAATGAAATATTAATAATAAAATAACTTCAAATGAAAATACATGTATTAGTTTTTCAAATATTATAATTATTGTTGTTTAGCAAGTAAAAAGTTTTGTAAGATATTTTAATATCAATAAATTAGAGTTCTGAAAAAATCTTGTTTGAAATTTGAACTTATATAATTAAAAATATAAATTAATCTATATAATTATTAAATTTCAAATATAATTAAATAATATATTCAAAAAATAAAATTTATAATTAATAAAATTTGCAAATTTTATATAATTAAAAAATCGAAAAAATATTTCTAGAAAAACTTAATTTATATTAATACTAATATTTTTATAGATAAAATATTTATTTTATCATTATTTCTTAGTTAAAAAAATAATAAAGTTTTTTAGCACAAAAGATTATAATTTATTAATAAATAAGTAGCAAAATAATTAAAAAAATACAATAATATTAAAATTTAATCTAAAAAAATATATTTCAATATAAATATTAATTAATAAAATTAAATATATTTTATAAAAAGAATTTATTAGTAAATCTTAATATTATAATATTTTTTAATTATTATTATATAGTGAAAATCAGAAATAATACAACAATATTAAAATTTATTAATTAAATATAGATTTTTTCTTTATATAAAAGTTTTAATTTTATTAATAAATATTTTTATTTTTATTTTAAAATAAAAATAATATTACATATTTTAATATATATTTTTTAAATTTAATTTGATAAATCTGTTCTAATTGTATATATAGTTAATTATTTTTTTATAATTAAAGCATATAAAAAATAATTAACTTTATATACAATTAGAATACTTTATTAGCTTAAATGTAAAAGTTCTAAAAAAAAATATAATAAAATATGTAAAATTATTTTTATTTTAAGATAAAAATAAAAAATATTTATTAATAAAATTAAAACTTTTATATAAGGAAAAAAATCTGTATTTTATTATATTAAATTAATAAATTTTAATATTGTTATATTAATTCTAATTGTTAATATATATATTAATATTAAATAATAAATTCAAAATTTAATTAATAATTTTTATAAAAAATAAACTTTTTCAATAATAAATTATTTATAATTTCATACTAATTTATATTATAATTTCTATTTATTTGTATTAATTTATTCTTTTATTTAAAAAAATTTATTTTTGCTAAGTTTTATTTTCATATTATCATATAAGAAATTATAATCTAATAATATAATAAGTTAATTTTAAAATTTTTTAATATTTAACAAAAATAGAATATAAAAAATAAACCAATAATATTATTTTTTGAAATAAGCTTTATTTTATAGTATAATAACAATTTTGTAAATTTAAGAAAAATTACAATTTTTAAAAATAATCAAAAAACAAAAAATTTCTAAAAATAGTAAAAGATAAATGATAATAAAAATAACTTATTAGATATTATATTTTATTATTTATTATAGTTAAATCTCTCTATAATTATACTTATTATAGTTATATCTCTTTATAATTATCTTAGTTTGCTTTTCTATTTATATATAAATATAATAAAAAAATTTCTATATTGTCATATCCTTTCTATATTCACTAAATTTTGTTTTTCCAAGAATGATAACTATAGAAAAATTTGATTATATTTTTTATTATTTATTTTATTATTTATTACTTTTTATTATTTATTTTATTTTTTATTAGTTATTATTTTTTATTATTTATTTTACTATTTATTACTTTTATTATTTATTTCATTATTTATTTTATCAATTATCATTTTTTATTATTTATCTTATTATTTATTATTCTTTAAAATTATCTTTTTAAAATTTTTATTATAATATTATTAATTAAATATTTATTATATTTGAAAATATATTTTTAAAAAATATATAAATAAAGATTTTAATTCAATATATTACAAATAAAAAATAAAATTTACTTTTAACAAAAATTTTTTTAAATAATACTTATCTCTTTTACTTTTAATTATACACATCAAAATTTATATATAATTAGCTTTGAATTATATTGTACTGAACAAAATATTGTTATTAAATTTATAAGCTTTGAATTATATTGTATTAAAAAATTACTATTATTATATTTATAAGCTTTATATTATATTATACCAAACAAAATATTGTTATTAAATTTATTAATTTTGTTTAAGTATTGTAATTTTTGTTATTCTGAATATTTATGATTTTTGATTTTAATATTTTGATATTTCTTATTTGAGAAGAACAAAATAAATGAGTTTTTGTTATTATTATTACTAATTGTATTGTTTTAATTCTAAAAAATTTTATACAAGTACTGAAAATTAGTATTTTTATTATTTATTTTCTTATTATTTTATATTTTTTTCTTTTTTCTTTAATTTTTATTTTCTTATAATATTTTTATACTATTCTTTCATAAAAATTAATATAGAATTTAGATATTTCTCTTTTTTTAATATTTTGTTTATTATTAAATCTCTTCTTCTAATTTAGTTTCAAGTTTGTAAGCTAATTTAACAATTAGTAAACAAACTTATAATATTATATTATTTTTTATTATAAATTTCTTATAATTAAATCTTTTATAATTATTATTTTTAAAAAAGCAAACTTTGATAAGTATGAAAAGAATATAATTATAAATAAATTTTTTTATTAATTATATATATATAATAAAAAGTAAAATAAATAATTATAAAGAAATATAACTATAAATAATTATAATTATAAAAAAATTTAATTATATAAATAAAATAATTTGTATAATAAAATTTATATTAGTAATTATTATATATAATTATATAAATTGAATTTAATTAATTAAGAATTTATTCTAATAATATATATAGTTAGTTCTCTTTAAGTGTACTTCTCTCAAAATTATAATAAAAAAATATAAAAGTGTATTTAGAAAAAATATATATTTATAAAAAGCAAAATATATAGAGTTCTTATAAGCTGAAATCAAGCTATACTATACATTTAGAGAGAATTATATAACTTATATATTTAAAGAATATGTATTTAGAGAGGTCTAATTATATAGTAATAATTTAATAATATCAAAATTTATTAATTAAATATGATAAAATATATAAAAGTTTTTAATTTTACTATAATATATAATATCTAAAGTTATTAAATATTTATATTTTAACTAAGTAATAAATTTAAAATTTAATTCATAAAATAAGTCTTTGTTTATTATATTTATAAATTAAATTTGAATTTACTTTTTAATTAAAAAGTTTATATATTTTATAAAATACAAATATTTAATGATTTTAGATTTTATATATATAATAAATATTTTTTATTTTTACATTAAAATGAAAATAATATCACATATTTTAACATATATTTTTTAGATTTTAAATTTAATTTGATAAAGTAATTCTAATTATATATAAAGTTAATTGTTTTTATAATTAAAATAATTGACTTATAAAGAGAAAAAATAATATTTTGCTCTGTTTAATTAATAAAGTTTGACATTATTATATTATTTTTGATTAACATTATATAATATTAAATAAGAACAATAATTTTTAATAATTTAAACAATATATATTTATTAAACAAGATTATTGAATTGCAAATAAAAAGTATTATTAGAGTAATATAAAAAAACTCCAGCTGAAATTATTCAATAAAAAAATAAATATAATAAGAAATAATATAAAATATATTTACTTTTAATTTATTTATTATAACTTGATAATTAATAATTATATAAAAAATTTCTTTTTTTACAAATTAATACGTAGTTTGTTAATAAACTATAATGTATAAGAGGCTTTTTTATTTTGTTTTGTTTTTAAAAAGTTATAATAATTTAATATTATTAAAAATAAGAATTCTGATTGGTCAGATTAATTATTATGTATAAGATCTACATTATAAAATTGTCATTGAAACGCAGTATTGGATATCATGCTGCTATATATTGTAGAATTCTCAATACGTACGTAATTATATATTATTATATAGTATTGTATAAATAAATTATTCAGCATAATAAAATTTTATATAATTTAATTTAATTAGTTGAGACTCCATCCTAATAATATGTGCAATATTGAATAAAATAATCAGAAAATGATTTTAAATGATCTGAACAATGCGTGTCTATTGGACAAGATTATCGGATTACAAGTAGAGGGTGTTATTAGGGAGTATGTCAAACAACCCCAACTAAAATCATTCAATAATCTTGATATCATACAATAGAGTTTTCAGTTTAATGTATTTAATTTTGTGGATTCTGCAAATACTGCATATGTGATGTAAACCAATAAATATGCGATTATACAAAATCGAAAGTTGCAGATGCGATAATTCTAGTGATCGGATTCGAGTGAAAACACTATATACTGTTACAATGCAGGCAGCCTAAAGAACGCCAATAAAAACTTGCTTTAAAATGCTACTAGTCTGTCAATAATGTTTCTATTAAGATAACAACAACAATTTTTGTTGTTGAGAAATGATATAATTGTTACTTATTTTTATCTTAATCTAAACATATTGACAGACTAGTAGCATTTTTTATTGGCGCTCTTTAGGCTGCCTGTACTGTATCATCGATTTTGTATATTTAACGTTATGTATTTTTTTGGGCGGGACTCCCTAGGTCACACCGATTCTGCAGAACTTGCAGAATTTGCAGTAGATTGCATGTGCAGTAATTGACACTGCGTATCATGCAAACTTTTCTTCGATCCTAAATACATATAACAAAATGGCTAAATTGTTATATAAAATACACAGTGACGCTCGTTAAACCGAAACTGCATTAAACTATATTTGTCCTATTTTGAAGGAATTTTCAATTACAGTATAAATTTTTGTATAATTAATGTCTCAATTGACTGTATTTATTATAATAAGCTTTAACCAAATATCTTGTTAAACAGATAAATTTACTTCTTTTTAGCTTCCAGTTTAACGAGAGTGATTGTGTATATTACAATTTGGGCATTTGAATAAGAATTCATTATTAAATTAAAAAACTACTGACTTCCATAAAGAATTATTCGTTGTACATATTTTGGTGGTGTGCAACCTAAATGTACACAAAGATCGAGAGCCAATCTATTGATATTAAAGAAACAACGTGTTCTTTATTGCTTTGTAATGTACATGTACATATACTAAAACACACAGAATTAAACCCAGAACTTAATAGATTGTCATATACATGTAATAAAATATCAATTCATTTCTTCTTTCGATTATCTTCGAAATTATCTCCATTATCTCTTCTGTTCCGTCTAAGGCATCTGATAAATCGTAACATTATTAGATTAGATATCGATAGCTACCTTGATAGATAAAAATTTATTTCTATGCCATGTATAACCCCCTCTTTCTTTGATATTTGATGCATCTCATCAGCGTGTACATTGAATTATATAGTTTTTGTCATATTATATTGATGTGATTTAACATAAAAACGTACGCGTCAATTTCTTTATCTTCCAATAATTCTTCCATTACTTCCTATTTGAATTAAAAACTATATTTCTATCTTCGCGTAAAAAATCTCTAAACTCAAACTTATAATTAGGTTTATTTAATAGAACGCGCAACTTATTATTTATATTATCATATAGTGATATCACAGAATGGGAGTTAATTTATCATTGAATAAAAACAAGAGAAAAAAAATAATAGGTGAAAATCATGAGAGCGATATTAGTAGCGAACAAGTGCAAAAATTTAAATATATTGGAGGTCGAAAATATTACGATCCTAATGTTGCACCATATGCAGTAAGTTTTATTGAATTCGGTTTTTCATTAGAATCTTTTAAGAATAAATATTTTTTATATTAGTTTCCCACGGATATCGAAGAGGTTGATCGATTACATCAACAACATTTTGCGCTCACACACATTTGTGGAGGAAACTACACGGCTCCGATTCATGATATAATAAAACCTGAAAGTAGGATATTGGTAATTTAAAAATAATAGCATCATCAGTTTCAAAAATTTGAATTAAACAATTATACAAACTTTGTTTTAGGACTTGGGTTGTGGTCCAGGCCAATGGACACTAGAGATTGCACAAGAATTTCCATATGCACAAGTATTCGGGATCGACATAAACGCGAGTTTCCCAACTTTGATTAAGCCGTTGAATTCGCATTTTATAGTTGGTGATGTCACGGAAGGCCTACCTTGGGAAGACAACTATTTTGATTTTATTTGGATAAGATATTTGTTTTGTGCAATTAAGGATACAGATTGGCAAAATTTATATCACGAGATTAAACGTGTGTTAAAACCTGGAGGAATACTTGAACATCATGTGATGGGATTGGTAGGTAGCATATTAACGTTAAACGTAAAGTTTTCTGATGAATGAATGTGTGTACAATATTTTAAATCCCAATTTTTTAACGAAAAATAGCGGTAAATCCTGGTCCGAATTTTAAAGAATGTCAAAAATATAGTAAGAATCATATTTATTTCGTTTTTAAATTACAACTAAAATAATCAACAATTCATTAATTGTATCAATTACTTTTAAGCCGAAGCAGGATTCATTTCACGTGGTCTTAACATAAAATTGGCATGTCAACTAAGTGAGCGAGTTACAATGGCGGGATTCGAAGACGCACAGTCATCATGTATATCTATAGCACTCGGAAAGTATGTATATGGGTTTTGTGATTTTTTTATAAATCATAAATTAATTTCCGTAAATATTTGTTTTAAATAAAGACAAGGGGGTCAAATTGGAGAAATATGGGCAACGAATTCAAAAGAATGTTATCTCGGTATGAAACCTTGGCTCGTGGAATTCACTGGTTTTACAGAAGATGAGTACGAATCAGTAATTCGATATATTTTCGATTATGAAGTTGACGAGTATAATGTTTGTCATAATCATCATATAGTATGGGCCCGAAAAATCCAATCATCATAGTTTCGTTATCGTTAATACTGATACGTATAATTAACGTTAATGATGAATACAGTCTGATGCTAACAATAAGAATAAATTATATGAACTCGATTTATTGTTGATTCTATGTTTTTGTAAGAACAAATTTTTTTATTTCCATATAGAGAGGTGCGACTAATACGCTAAATATAAGCAATGATATATTAGATATCACAGATTCTGAATTATTTAAGTACATGTATATTTAGAAATAGACAAACTTCTAGAAATTAGCTTGATAATATATAATCTTTTCCTTTGTAGTTTACGTTAATTTATGATTTTTAGCTGATCAACTATAAATGTGGTTCGACTTTTGACACGTAACGTGTTCAGAACGCGAGTTATTACAAAAATATTTAATTACTATATTCGGAGTCGAATTGACCGGTAGATATGTAGTCACATTTTTTTTCGAGCATGCATTTAGAGTTATTCTATATCGATATATACTTCTCTTAGTGTATACTCTTGAAACTGGCACTATAAAATTCATTTAAAAGAGTGTGACTTAGAGAGTGAAGGCTGTATGTGTCATCATGTTTACCATAAATGGCTCCGCCACGAACAATCTTCATTGATGTGAAATGTAACGAAATTCGGTATGCTACAAGTAAAGTTGTAACCATAGCGATTGTGGATTGACACAGAAGTGTGTGAATATCGATATATTGATATCGATGTGTGTTTTGCTATATTAATTATTTAATGTTTTCAAATTTAGGTGCTTTTAGTTTTATTTGATTTAATATTTGGGATATTGATCACACTTTTTATAACTGTCATAAGGAAATAATTTGATGTGCGGTGGTGTATTGTTTTAGAAATTCTTTATTCTAACTCATAAAAAAAGCACATGTGTTCTTTTCAAAAATTTAGGACTTTTAAAACATTTCCTATAACTTCATTACATCGATCACAATATAGCTGTAGTCGAAAATAATCAATAATATGATCCAGATTGTTAACTTGATCAAAAAAAATTTATTAATTGCAATACGCATATTTTCTATAAATGT